AGTTCATTGTCTGTTACTATGACCAAGCACAGCCCCAAGACAGCTGTGTCTCATTCCTGCATGTTCCAGTGCTTTTCCTTAAAATCACATCAAGTACTGTTAACAAAAAAAGGCAGGTTAAAAAATAAAGCTTAAAATAACTTTAAAAAAGAAAGGACCCCTTTTTTAACTTTTTTTTTTTTCTTTTTCTTTTTGGATATCTACCTCCATCTGCTGCTTCTAAGTCTAATGCTCGGGAGTAAATTAACCAGTCAAGAATACATGTATTCTTCATAAACTGCTATATAAATTAAGTTGTCATTAATTTATTCATCTTAATCAGCCCATTCTTTTGCCTCAGTTTTGTAGGCTGTTCCTTCAGCATCTATGTTTATTCCTGTATATATTAAAACTATCAAATTCAAGTTCCCTGGTAATATGCCTGAAAGCAAGAATCTACTGTGAAGCTTGCATACCTCCTTATCCTGACAGCATCTTCTATAACTACTTATAAAACAGGATCAAGATGTAAAAGTGAGAGGGTGAATTTGATGACAACATGGATTTTCACCCAATTTCCATGACAGCACATTTTATGGATATTACTATGTTCAATGCGTTAAGAATGCATTATTGCAAATTTAGCTGCTCTCTTCTGGAAACATGGTAGGAAACCACTGAATATAGTTCCAATAAACCAAGAAATATTTTGTTTTCATATCATTAGACTTTCTACAGGAATAAATGATGAAGAAAAGGTCAAGCTAGATTTTAAACTGATGTTTCAATCTGACAGTTCTTCACAAGAACCCAGTGGTTAAAAACTGTTATTTTGTAATCTATTGGAATATAATCCCTTTTCTCTATGTAGTGAGGACCAAACTGCTGTGTTAATCACTGAATAATGACATTTTTTAAAGAAAAATAAGAATGAAGAAATTAATATTTTTATTCTGAAAAAAGGGTTTAGAAAAAAAAAGGAGGAAAAATACATTAGCATACTCAGCTTTGGTATCTTTTAGTATTCTTAACCACTTAGCTGTTCAAACTGAGCATTAGTTTAGCCATTGTTCTTTGTTTAGAAAAAAAAAAAATCAGATGGTCAAGAAATATACCTAAATCTGTCTTTCCAGAACTGAGAGGTACAAAAACATATTTTTAGAAGGAAAAACGTGTTTTTCAGCTCTTTCAGGAGCAGCTGTGGAATAATCCAGGTATACTGGTAGAGGACCGTCAATATGAATTAAGTTAATTAAGGTGAGTTGTCAAATCCCTCCCAGTTACACTGGCAATGTCATGGTTTGAACAGATTGTTCTCTGAGAAAGAATGACATTTACTCAAAATAGTATACGTGAGGCGAACAAAAGGCTGAAGTACTGTTGTGTATTCTCTACAGTGGTGGGTGGCTGGTTTTGCAATTACCCCAGACCAATTTTAAACTGGTTTAAGCTCCTTTGGGCCTCTGAGTAGCTGAGGTGGCACAGCATGCACTGCAGGCTGCAAACTCACCAGGGAAACCACCTAGCTTTTTCTGTGCTTAGACTATGTTGAATGTTTTCCCAACACAGCGATGCTGCTCTCACCATCTGAGATTGCAAAACTGAAGCTCAGCTCAGACAGGTCTATACTGGATCTCTTGCAGGTGAAGGCATGTGACTTCCCTGGCACATCTAACCCTAATGGCATAAAGTTGATTATATTTCTGGTTTTATTTCCAGACAAGCAAAAGAAGAACATTATATTTTGGCAGGACAGGCATAGCCACACAAAATGTGGTACATTGTAATAGACTATTTCTTATGAACTCGGTGCAAAATGTGATGATTAATTTTTCATGTTTGTGCTTAAAAATGTCTGGGAAAGTCACCCACAGGTAGAAGATCTCATTGTTTAAAAGTGAAGAAGCTACTTGACCCATTGACTGTGTTACTCTGATAAACCAATAGATATGCAAAATCCAATGGCCAGATGCTCTGGTAGCTACATGTCCAGTTCCCACTGATGTCAAGAACAGAAATAGTCATTATGAGTGGACACCCTTGCAAACAACACCAAAAATCACTTTGTACAGGAATGTACACCAACTTGGGCATTTTGTCATGCTGTTACATCTCCTTTCAAGTATAACTTCTGACTTTGGGAAGGAATACCAAAGCAAGGAGAACACCAGTTCTCTCCAGTAACGGTTTTTATATATTTTGATTTAAGGTAACTTATGGTATATGGTAATTTTTCATCTGTGTCTGTCATTTGTTCAGAAGAAATTCTGAATCCAATTTTACGAACCCTAGCCACATGAATAAAATAAACCACTTCTGGAAGTCGTTTATATGCATATGAGCTAGCCATCTGAAAACATCATCATACCCGACTGCTTCCTGAATGTAATGTCATTCTTGCAGATTGGAATTACTTTGCATTGTGATGCATGTTTTAAAAAGCTTTTTTTAAAGGTTCTGGGCATGGCAGAGGTTAACATACATTTGGGCAGCAGAATTAAATGTTACCTCCTAGTTTAACCAAATTAACATAATTGCTGGGATTATTTAGAGTATTTTTCTTAAAGCTTCTTGTATACTTGAGAAAGAATAACTTCACCTTCAAATATACATTTCCTTGTCCAGTTCATACATGTGATATATTCACCAGTTATTAATTAAAAAAAAATATGTTAATGCTCATTTTCATGCCATAAAATCTTCTGCTTTTTGTCCTCAATAAACTTTTTTTTTTTTTTTTTTTGGTTAAGCAAGACTCTTAAAAACCCTTATATTTATACTCAGTGTATACTATATTCATATTTAGACATAAATCCCATTTACCTTTTTTTTTGCCTGAGGTAACACTAGAAGATGTAGATCTGATGCATCTTGTTGATGCGTTTTGACAAAAACATCTTCACACTTTTTGAGTTCTTCAGTGCTGTCATTATTGATCCCTTTTTTTCACATCCTAACAACTCAGTGCACTGAATATTTAATAATAGAGGTGATATGGGACCCCATTGTCTGACTCATATAAATAACATAATAATTGAAACCACATCTTCTTCCTTCTCTATTGTGCATGCAAGGCTGGAAAACTGATCTAAATGAATACAAGGTCTTTCAAAAAATCCCATATACATGAGAGATAATGTAAAAGAAGCTAGAATAAAATGGACATTTAAAAAAATGAACCAAAGTTTTAATGTTAAAATATTTTGCTGCCACCTTCTGGAATTTCATAAAATGTGCATCTCAGTTGTTTGTAACATGGACATAATCTAGCCTTCAACAGCAATTGCTAACATTATTACAGAGAAACATTACATATATTTCGTCTTTATTACTTTTAAAATTCTGAATAATTATGTCCAATTTCAACTTCCACAGAGAGATGGAATAGCACAGATTCACATTTAAGGCTTTCATATGTGAATAAAATAGAGGGAAAAAAATTGTGCAGCACTCATAACTCTCTACAAATGCCATGAGAAATCATCACATCAAGCATAATCTGGTCATAAAGAAATATAGGTAAACAAAGCAAGGAGCTGCTCACAGATGATACATAAATATAATCATTCACAATTATTTGTTACTTTAAATCCAAGGTTATTCCTTAGAACTCAGGGCCTCTTTCCCACAGGTGCGTTGTGGCCTTTGCATAACTGCACTCCTTTTAAAATACAACTCGACATAAATAAACAAGAGGCAAACGAGTCCTAAGGCTTTGGGCTCTGTCCTACATATTCTCTCCTTGTTCCTGTCAGAGAGATTTTCTTCTGCACAACTTGTGAAAACATAATGCATTTGGGGGAAGATTAATATATGCAAATATCACACCAGTACAGAGAGCATGTCAGAAGTTCTTTATTATCACTAAGACAACTGGAGCACTAGTCTTATTTTAGAAAAGAAGCAATCAGAAGCATTTGAACTGGGGAAAGAACAGAAATGTCTGTATCTTTACATGGTCTTGAAGTCAGCACTTGTCTTCTGATGCACAAGGTCAATATCCCCAGAGCATCCTAGGGTTTGGTCACCTCCATCACCACTCACACAGGGGACAGAGGACCTCTAGGACAGCCAGCTTTGCAGGCACCTATGCTGCTTAGCAAGCTGTCTGGTCATCTGGGTTGATGCTCACCAGGCATGTTGCACAACTACTATTGGGGAAATAAAAATCGGAGTATTAGGAGGTGCAAGCACCAGGTGATTTACTTCTACGCCACTATCATATGCCTTCACCTCTAAAAGTTTGTTTAAATTACCACACTGGTTCTATGATTTTTATTTTTTTTTTCCCCCACAAAGCACTAAAATGAATTTGTTCCTTATGGAAAGTGTTGTCGATGTCAGCACTCAAATCCCAAGTGGGAAGTTTTAGACAGTTACCTGACTCTTCAAGAGTGGGGTTGATGAGCCTGTGTCAGCCCTGTCTTTGGCTTGGCATGCCTTGAGTGGCACAGAGATATTCTATATATACATTTTGTGAGAATAGGTATGTGGGTTCTATGTAGAATATGGGGATAAATAATAAATCTCATTGACTTCAGCTGGTTTCTGCAAAGCACAGGTGAAGTCTGGCTTTGGCCCAGGTAAGAACGTTGTTTTGGCGGTGACGGAAGGCCTCAATTCTGACACACAGCCGTGCCTGTCCTCGGCTGCACCCTAAAGTCTGCGCGCCCGGTGACGGCAAACGGAGCCCTCGGGGTCTGGGCTGGGAGGCGGATGCCCAGCCGTGTCAGAGGCGGGGGCAGAGCGCAGCCGCCGCCGGGGCCTGCTGCCGCGGCCTGAAGGAGGGGCCGCTCCGCCGGCAGGTCCCGGGCCGCCGCCGCCCGCCCTTTACCCGGTCTCTCCTGCGCGGCGGAGTTGCCGGGCGACGGGCGGAGCCGTGGCT